AATAATTATAATTAATAATAATAATTAGATATAATTATAATAATTATAATAAAAATTAAATATTATAATAATAATAAGTTGAATAATATTAATAATTATAAATTATTAATGCTTATAATAATAATAATTATAAGAAATAATAATAATATTTATAAGAAATAATAATAATAATTTGTAATAATAATTAAAATTAATTATAATAATTATTATAAATTAGAATTAATTATAATAATTTTAATAAAAAATTCTAATAATTATTATAATTAATAATAATAATTTGCAATAATAATTATAATAGTAATAATAAATTAGAATTAATTATAATAATAGTAATAATTCGTAATAATTATAATAATTATTATAAATCTCAACAATAATAATTATAATAATAATTAAAAATTATAATAATAAAATTTATAATAAAATTTAATAATTATATTTCTGATTCAGGGTGTTAGCAGAGCTGGACAATCTAATGCCAGGGACGACGACGAGGCGTTCGATGATTATTATGATGGTTCTGGCACCCGACACACTAGAAGTCGGGGTGTCAATGCATCCGTTCGTCGGGAGAGGGACAGGGAAAGGCAGAGTTCGAGACCCCCCGCACCAGTGCGAGATGGTCCGCAGGGATATCAGTTTGAGGGCCAGCCAGATAGTTCGCGACTCCACGGAGTCCTCCCGTACGGTGAGCATGGATTTTATTATCCTGGCCAGGCAGGCAGTTCGATGCCCCCGGCACCAGGACCGTACGATCAGTCGGGATATGGTTTTTCCCGCTACGCAGGGAAGTCGATACCTCCTCGCGCACGCATACCATTACCCTATGGTCAGCAGGGGTATGCTGATGAGTCGTACGACGAGAGGGAGCAGGGTCCAGAGGAGTGTGACTCGGACGACTCCTCAGATGATCAGTACCACGCACAGCCTACGGGTCCTAGCCACCCTCGTCCTCCTGTACCGCCTGTTCGTCCGGTACAGCCGGTTCTACAGCATGTTCGTCCGGTACAGGCTGTTCGTCCTACACAGGCTGCTCCTCAACGACAGGCTGGGGGGCGTTTTGGCCCATCTGCATCCTCATCAGGTAAATAATTTACGTATTTATTGTTGTTTAACATAAATTATTTTCACTTAATCATAACAAATTATCGGTACTGTTAGAAAAGTATTATCGGCCTGCTCCTCAACTACGGTATAATTATTTTGTAATTTAGAGGAACCATACAATTAATTAGTTAAAAAATTATTATAATTATTTTTATTATTATTATAATCAATTAGTAGTAATGTTACATAGTAAATTAGTTTAAAATTGTCATTATATTTTATTAATGTAAAATGTAATGTTTGTACATTAATTGAAAAAATAAAAGAACGGGAAACTAATGAAATATGTTTTATTAAATATATTTTATTTAATGCATCTGCCAGCAAGTCTATATATACAGATATATTGTATTGGAATGCAGGTACTAGCAAACGAGCTAGGACCGATAATGATGCACCCTGGATCGTTAAAGGCCCAGTGGACGGTGGGCCCATTGATGGGAGTGTCATCCCTAGCTTTCTAAGGCAAGTCGCCTCCCGCATGTGGAATGGAGATTTTAGGGGGCTGCTGAAATGCCACAACAGACTGAGAGCGGTCGAGAATCTGAAGGAATTGCGTGATGAGATGTCTTCCCATGCGAGAGCTCTGATCAAGAACACCGACCTGTCACATCTGGTCGACTTCATGCACACCCACTTGGACACTCCACTCCTTTCTGCGTTTGTGGAGCGATGGCAGCCGGATACTAACTCGTTTCACCTGCCTTTTGGTGAAACGAGCATCACGCTGCACGACGTCCGGGCCATTTTGGGCGTTCCTGTAGAGGGAGCCGTGGTCGCTGAGGACCCGGATTCAGATGCCTGCCATGGGCTCTGCATGTCGATACTTTCGGTCACCAAGGCCGAACTCATGAGTTCGTTCTGGCAGCGTGGTTCGGTGACCGAAGCCTCCATTGTGGGGGCATTCAGGGGGAAAAACCGACCGGCTAGGGATGAGGCAGGTGCCTGGATGTGGGTTATGCTGGCTACCACATTGTTCGTCGACAAGAGTGGTAGTAGAATGACCCCCAAGCTCCTGAAAAAGGTGCTCGACGACTTGGATTTGATTGGGGGTTACTCATGGGGATCGGCTACGCTAGCATACATGTACAAACAGCTAGGTATTGCTAGTCGAGGGGACTCCAGTGGAATGTCGGGCTGCGGGACTCTTCTGCAGTCCTGGATATATGAGTATTTCCCCGATTTTCGACCCCAAGGGCGTCTACCCATCGGTCCTAACTATCTCGCACGATCTCGCTCGTGGAGCGTAGGGAATGCGCCAAGGTCGGACGATCGGCTCACAGCCATCCATCGGCGCCTCGACAGACTCACTGCCTTCGATGTACGTGAAGTTATTTTATTTAAATTTAGTTACCTATTATTTAAGATAATATCATTATTTTTATAAATGCTTTTATGCAATTGTGAACAGGTGCAATGGTTGCCATACGGCAGCTCCAGCCCAGATGCGATAGAGCCGAGGACTCTTTATAGCGGATTGATTCGATACAGCGATGTTGTCGAGCTGTAACACCCCGCTTATCAGAGTAACTTTTTCGCAACTTTTACTTCGAAATTACTTTAACTCTTTCGAAATCTTTTGCAACTAACTCGGGATGCTACTCAAACTCATCATCTTGAAAATCCGTTTATCTTTAAACTTTTGTCTAATACTTCTTTATACATAAATAAAACAGATTTCCTTTAAACTTACATTTAAAATACCATAATCATATTTCTTATAATGGTAAAAACTAATCTGAAATTTATTAAAATGCAAATTCAATACTTAATGTGCATAGCAGAAATACTTGAAAACGTGGTTAATTATACAGACTGTTATAAATGTCCTCATCAAAGCTTGTCTTCATCTGAGTCCACGATCCACACCAACACTACTCCACTCACACCTCCTCTTCGACCTGTTACCTGAAACTAAAACTCATGGGGGTGAGTAACGAATATGGATAATCATAAATCGATATCTGATCGGTAACTTAAACTTTTCTCTTCTCTTGCCGATAATTAATCGGATACGTGTGCACACTCTGATGGATATTTCTAAGGAAACTCAGGCGGCCTCCATCAGAACTTAGGATATAATCTCTGAGAACAAATTAATGCCTCCTCATCCTAAGCGTAATAATATTAAACTTTAGGGTATACTCTGAGACAACTGATGGTCTCCTCATCCCATATGACATCAATATCGTACTCAATGTGATACCCGTTCAAGGTCCCCACCTTTTTGTCTTTGAAATCATTTGAAATACGATAAGTATTGTACTGGTACTGTATCTGCAAGTTACATGAAATATAAACAAATATACTAAGTACTATGCTCGTATACTCAATAAGATTTTTAAAATTATTAACTTATCCAAATCTTATAGAAATTCATTAAACTTGTTTTTTCTCAAGTTTATACTTAACTTCTCTTTTTACTTTTACTTAAGGTCAATTACTTAACCTTATATAAATCATGTCTTCATAAACATCAATATGGTATTATTATACTTAGCATGTCATAACTCAAATGTGAAAATAACTATATTTCACATTATACTTGATTGATTATTTAAACTTAAAACATGCTTACTTTTACCAACATCATCAACATGATTTATTACTTATCTTAATTTAACTTGATCAAATACTTAATTCATCATACATCATATCTCCCAATTTTTAGATATTGGCTTATACTAAATTTTCACTTAATTAACTTGAAAGTGAAAATAATCTCAAGCCATAATCATCTTTTAATCATAACTTTTAATCTTGATATTAATATGTCATACTTAATACAATTTTATACAATCTTTATAAAATTGTATACTCAACATATTATACCAAAACTTCATCAAATTACTCATCACTTATATGAGAATTATTCATGATCATCTCATTTTAAACTTAACTCTAACATATGTACTCTCCACATATATATAAAGTTACCATAAAAATTTCACTTTAAAATAATACTCATATATTAAGATATATTATTCAAAGTTGAAAATATAACAAAATATTCAACTAACTTGTATGCTTGCTTTTAAAAATCTATATCTCATGCTAAACAAGTCCAATAAAGATAAAATTTAAACTGGAAGTTCTTAACTAATATATGAATTTAAATAATCTAAAACTTTCCAGTATTATTCTCAGCATAATAATGATCTCATATAAAAATTTTCATAATTTTTGGAATTTAATAGCTTGGTCAAAAACAACAAACATAAGCAGCTGCAACATGAACTTTAAATAATCTTACTTTATAATCTTATTTTATATACTTATATATATAAAATTTATAATTTCTAAACATGATAACATATCAAAATCACATATAAACA